GAAGAAGTGCAAGCAGAAGAAGATTGACTGTAACGTTTATCTTCCTTTTTTATAACATTATTTCCTCTATTGTAGTTTGCTACGTGTTGCTTAATAAATCTCCAGTTCCAATCTCCGGAGTTCTCCCAAGCTTGTATACTACAATATTGGCGACCCTGCCGAGGCACGTTCATCAGGAATCCTGTATCACTGGTCTAACAAAGATAATGCCGAAGACAACCAATAAAGCCGATGACGAAACTAATTTTGACGCTAATGATCCGACGACAAAGCTCGCCGCTTCGCTCGATATGTTATCACGGACTTTGCAGAAAATGTCGACTTCATCAACTTCTTCAACCAGCATGCCATCTATCCCGCGGCCAGAACGTTTTACCCTGGGGATGCTGTACCCCAGATGGGAAAAGCAAGTCCAGTTTTATCTGCGTCATTTCCCATCCAACCAACAGGCAGCTGTGCTCGCCGGTCTGCTCTCGGGAGAGGCCTTTGATATCGTTGCAGACAGTAAACTTTTGGAGAAAGAAGTCACAACCGAGACTTTTTCCGCCATGCGCCGATTATTAGCCCGCCCCGGTCTACCTGCGCCCCTACGCAGGGCATTCCATGCACGTTACCAATATCCGGCGGAAACCATACGCACATACGTTCGCGAACTGCAGAGGATGGCCGATATCGCGTACGAGAACGAAACGCCAGATGAACGTGAAAAGCTGGTCTTAGGACAACTCCTAGAGGGCGTTCAAACGCCGTCTATTAAAAAGGAGTTCCTGCGATACCCTCCACGCCGTTTGGACGAGGCATTGGAAACAAGTGACCATTTGGAAGACATAGATGCAGCCATGGGTACGCCTACATCTGGCTGTTTTGCGGTAAGAGGAAACACACGACATAGAGGCGTTCGACCTGAAAGAATGACGGGAAATCCCGGCCGTTTTCAGAGATATCCTGCCCCACGACGACCGACACAATCAGGTTTTCGTTGGCCCCGCAGACAAACGTCATACCGCGGATCGTCTCGCTACAGGAACACGCCAGGTGAGCATACCATGACATCATTTGTAATACCATCTCTTACTTGCAACTCGATTGTGACGTCTCTAACACTAGAATTATCGATAGCTGGGATTTGCTTACTGGGGCTAGTGGATACTGGCGCAGCTAGAAGCCTAATCAGGGCCAGCGTGAGTAGGAGCTTCTCAAACTGTGTTAGAAAACCTTGTAACGCTCGCCTTACCGCGGCCAACGGGTTACCACTAGTTGTTCGGAATTCCATCGTTGCCCCCCGTTGTTGTAGCCTGCACAAGGTTTAACCATGAATTTATCGTTGCTGATCGGATACCGTTCGATGTTATTATCGGAATAGATTTGTTGAGGAGGTTAAAATGCCGACTTGACCTGGAGAAGTCCCAACTAATCACTGATTCGTGCACCATACTACTGAGAGCAAGCAGCAACAGCAATTTTGAGGATTTTACGTTATATGAGTGCAGTGTCAAAGAGCAACAATGTGTAGACGATTTTATTCGGTCGATTGGGCTTTCAGCTGACACATTAACACAGGCACGATTAGCGCAGGTCATACAAAATTATTCAGATGCCTTTGCATGGAAATCCGGCGACTTGGGACGGACCGGCCTCGTGAAACATTCTATTGACACTGGTTTGGCTAGACCGATTAAAGTGCCTCCGAGACGTATTCCAATCCACTGGCAGGGTGAGATACAGAAGCTGATAGATGCGATGTTAGAGAAGAACGTTATCCAACCCTCCAACTCCCCGTGGGCATCTCCGGTTGTCCTTGTAAAGAAAAAGGACGGTGGCTTCCGATTATGCGTCGATTACCGAAGATTGAACGTAGCTACTCGAAAGGACGCCTACCCGCTCCCAAGGATCGACGATCTGTTCAACGCACTTGGCGGATCTGTGTATTTTAGCACACTTGACCTGGCTTCCGGGTATTGGCAGGTGGAAGTAGAAGAGAGCGATCGAGCGAAAACCGCCTTTGTCGTGCCCTCTGGGTTGTACGAGTTTCAGACCATGCCATTTGGCTTATCTAACGCTCCAGCTACCTTCCAACGCCTTATGCAAAAAGCATTAGCTAACCTGATCCCGCGTAAATGCCTCGTGTATTTGGATGATGTCATCGTACATGGAAAGACGGAAGGTGAACACTTGGACAATTTGGCTAGTGTTTTGGAATGCTTGTTGAGGGTGGGATTAAAGCTTAAGCCCTCAAAGTGTCATCTCTTGAAAAGGGAAGTGGCGTACTTAGGGCACATAATATCTGGAGATGGTATTCGAACGGACCCGGTAAAGGCTGAACAGGTCAGGTCGTGGCCAACGCCAACCACTACGGAGGAGTTACGTAGTTTTCTCGGGTTAGCATCATATTATCGGCGATTTATTCGAAACTTCTCATCCATTGCAGCCCCATTACACTCATTGCTAGAGAAGGGTCGCATGTTCGAATGGTCGAAGCAGTGCGCAGAAGCTTTCAATCACCTACGTGAATCTCTCTGTACGGCCCCTTTACTAATATTTTCCGATTTGTCCCCGTCTGCTGGCCAGTTTATCTTGGATACTGATGCGAGTGATAAGGCGATTGGAGCGGTGTTATCACAACTGGGATCGGATGGTGTCGAACGAGTCGTGGCATATTGTAGTCGCAGTCTCAGCCCGAGGGAGCGAAATTACTGCACGACTAGGAAAGAGATGCTGGCATTGGTATATTTCATCAAACAAAACCGACATTATCTATTAGGTCGAAAGTTTCTGGTCCGCACAGACCACCAGTCACTTCGGTGGCTGCAGAATTTTAAAGACCCCGAAGGCCAAATCGCGCGTTGGCAGGAGCAATTGCAGGAATATGACTTTGAGTGCAGACATCGCCCCGGTAAGCAACACGCTAATGCTGATGCATTGTCACGAATTCCCCCTCGTAACCATGGAGAGTGCCCTTCGTGTAATACGCAACACGTAGCAATCGTCAATCTTCAAGGAGCAGAGTATGGTCGGTGGCAAACGGCACAGGCGAACGATCCCGATACCGCACTGATCTACGAGAGGCGTCTTAATGGCGGCGATAAACCAACGAGTAAAGAGATGGAAGGGAAAAGTTACGAAGCTCGTTGCCTTTGGTCCATGTGGGATTACCTGACCACCGAAGAAGGAGTTTTAGTTTTCAATTTCGGACCGACGTACACGAGAAGAATCATCGTCCCGCATTCTATGGTTAGGGAAGTACTGAGCGATTTACACAAGGAAATGGGACATGCAGGGATCAATAAAATGGACGAAGCGGTTCGACGACGTTTCTGGTGGCCCCATCAACGGAGAGATGTGATCAACTACTGTCAAGCGTGCGAAGAATGTGGTGCCTTTAAAAACCCTCGTATCGTTCATCGTGCACCCTTGCAGCCCATGGTGGCCGGCTATCCTAATGAGATAGTAGGAGTGGATCTCATAGGCCCTTTACCTGAGACGCCAAGAGGTAATCGCTTTATTTTGGTCATGAACGATTACTTTACTAAATGGTGCGAGGCTATACCGATAAGACAGGCGGATACGTCCACTGTGGCAACAGCTTTGGTAAATCATTGGGTCTGCCACTGGGGTGCACCAGGGCAGCTACACTCGGATAAGGGATCGTGCTTTGAGAGCTCACTGGTAATTGAAGTTTGTCGGTTACTTGGGATAGACAAAACTCGAACCACAGCGTATCATCCTCAAGGAAATGGGCAAGTGGAAAGAACAAATCGTTCTCTTAAATCGTTGCTGAAGGCCTTCGCGGACAGGAATATCAATGAGTGGGACAACGTGTTGCCCAGATGCCTACTTGCATACAGGAGCACAGTACATTCATCGACGGGACAGACACCATTCCTTATGTGGACAGGAAGAGAGGCACGATTACCTTCGGATCTACGTCTACCGATGACACAACAGCTACAGTCATCGGTTATGGAATATGTTAGCAAGTTGTTAGACTCCCTTTGGCAGTCTCATCAGTCAGCACGAGTGCATTTAGGGAATGCACACCGGCGTCAGAAGGAATATTACGACAAGAAGGTATTTGGCGTACCCCTGAAAGTTGGTGATTTAGTTTGGTTACACCAACCTCAAGCATCAGGAGTGCCGGCAAAGTTTCACAGAGAGTGGACGGGTCCATATACGGTAGAACGAGTGCTCTCTGAGGCCACCTGCATGATAAAGGATCGTAGCAACCCTAATAGTCAACCTATAGTTGACCATTTCAATCGCCGCAAACCATGTAGAGGAGAAGCTGAGTCAATTGAGTCAGAGAGGGCAGATTCACCACCAGTGGTTGCTCGTGAACTTGAAGTACCGGCTGAGGGGGGCTACGGGGTAGCACCGGGGACGGCGCTCGAAGGAGGGAGGGTGTAGTGTAGTGTTGCACGGAAACTGTCGTGGCGCGCTGCTTGACTTTGAACTGGTGTTTACGCTGCGCTTTCATTTGCCTTGCAGGAACCTGGTCGTGTGCTTTAACGGAAGAAGTGCAAGCAGAAGAAGATTGACTGTAACGTTTATCTTCCTTTTTTATAACATTATTTCCTCTATTGTAGTTTGCTACGTGTTGCTTAATAAATCTCCAGTTCCAATCTCCGGAGTTTTCCCAAGCTTGTATACTACACTATAACCTTGTTATTTGCAGCCAAATTTTGCCCATATATTAGGGTCCGTTACACCAATCCGTAGCGCGAAACCTTAAATTAAAATAATGAACATAAAAATATAAATACCCGTTGTATATCTTGGTGTTCCATCCCAATAAGTAAGCAATTATATTATGTTAATTTGCTGAATTTTCACCTTTAAATGCGTTCTGTATGCAGGCTAGTAAGAGAACTAATTTTGGGGTTCAAACGCAAATAATCGCCTCTTTGCGATGGATTAACATTGGTAAAAGTGAACGTTTTAGACCAATGCTCGGCAGGTATATCAAAAGGTGTGGGTGTATATGGCTGTAAACGACTTACTAGGCGTAAATGCGATGCTTACATGGCTAGCATTTGGGAATCACTGCTAAAAACAGAAATTGTTTCACTACATACAACATCTAGGAAATTATTCAATTAAACATATGTACAGTGTTCTCCGAACCTCGTAGCCAACTAAATGCAGTAAGCTGTCCCCTAAGTTTTAGGTGTTAGGTAATGTTTTTAAACCAGTAAGTTTATAAATTGCCTCTTTTATATCCGTTTGATATACGGACTAGTGTAACACAACCTCCATCCTTAACCTTGTCCGGTCTTCTCCCTACTCTCCTTTTCTGGGTGCTCCTGTTCTGACCATTAAGCAAGGTAATGGCACTGAAGCAGGCAGTCTCGAAAAGTATGCTTTTTGTCTTTGCACAGACTTTCCCTAGAAATATTGGAGGAAGTTATTCTTCCTTTGAAGAAACCGAAGGACTGGAAGGTTTTAGTCTTAGACCGTCTATCCACCCGCATCGTGTCGTCTTGTTGCAAGATGCACGAGATTATGAATAGCGGCATCACGCGTAAGACTGCACCTTTGGAACTTTTATTTCCTAAGTTGTGGAGGACATTACGAAAAGACGTGAGGTTTTGCCTATTGAGGCGATCTATCTGATCACTCCTACTGAACAGGTATGTTGTGCCTTTATGAAAGCTTGAGACACTAGTCCATACGGCTCTTAATGGAAGACTTTCAAAGCGCTTCAAACCAATATCGATACGCCCATGTTTTCTTCACTGAGGGTGAGCTTTAAGATTATTGCCTTTCTTGAACTTCCACATCGTCTTTACCAACCAGGTGTTTATTTTGTGAGACGCAAATTTTATCATGAGCTGTCTAAATCCTAAAGTGAACATAGTGTGTTCTGTAGTTTTTTTGCAAATCCACGAACCTTGGAATTGATTTCGTCAAGCATCATACCAGAGATTAATCGCTCGCTGATCGGTTCGGGACTGGCACCCATTTTTTGAATTGGTCTGCCCGAAAACGAGCTGACACCCATGGCAAAAGTTCGAATATCGGATTGTTGTGATGGTTTGCAGCTACTGATCTTCCGCCTTATCTCCTGGCATATATTACAACCTCTACTGACTTTATCTTTCTCGTGTTTCAGTACATAGGTTGATGCTTATTTCTATCACTGTTTACCTTCGTCCCATTCCATTACTTTCTATATACACCGCGTTACCGGTAAAGTTGGCTCTACTGGTTCAGTGCACGTGTAAATCGCTCGGTTGCCCATGGTTAAAGTCCATGTTCAAGTGGGACAGGAACAATAGGAGAATTCCATGAGTGTTTCATTTTGGAAGCGCCGTTGATCCGGGGTAGATTTCTGCAATTCCCTTGGTATTCTAAGATTGTACACTCGGCCCGCGCGTCACCCCACGATCAACCAATCAATGCCCACCTGTCCTGCACCAATAGACCCGCGATCAAAATCGAAAATAGCGCACAATTTCTGCGGCTCAAAATCGAATTCTACGATTTAAAATGGAAAACGATGCTAAACAGAAATCAAGGCACCTTCATGCACTATACATACGTCAATCACGATTCTAAACAGGAGAATTATAATAAAGTCTAACGTGGTGCTTCGTGCTACTGTCCGAAAAGTTGTGACGCTTGTCAGGCTACATTTTTGTTGGCACTAAAGTTCCGTTCAGCATCTGCCGAATTCACAGGAATGCATAGCTAACGGCCGGTGATGTCTGCTAGTTGCGGAGTTTTTTCAAGCATACCGCATCAGGCCAACGTATCTTCACATTTTCCTTCTTGAATTTCTTCCGCAGCTTTTCGATAGATTCGACTGCCAGGGCTGGGGAGCCACATAGGCCGGGAACATCGGCATAGTTACATTTATCATTGGGCAAGGTGATGGGCTTGTTGGGCTCCAGGACTCTAACCACTTAAAAAGACGGTCAGCTAGCCTGTGATGTCAGCAACTCCCAGACTTTTATGACAACTCGAAAGAAGTAGAGTTGCATGTCAGTTTGCATTTTTCTGCACACATCAAAAGTAAGTCCCTCTGCCTGCAACTGTCACAGCTAGTTTTCTTCGGCGGCAGTTTCCAGCGACAGGAATAGGTCGGAGATTCCGTAGACTGATTCGGCAGTTGTCAAGTGACAGATGATGTTCCTGCCGACGATCACATTGAAACGCAGTTGCCATCTCAAAGCTGTTTGTGTCTTCGGTGGTTAGGATATCCACCGGTTCACAAACACCAGCTGAGTCACCAAACTCATGTTGTACGGCTTATAACAGCTGGGTAATGATGGGAATACTGTGATGTGCGACAGCTTCCAGCCACGAGTTCCAGCGGGAGATTCCCAGTGCAGGCGGGCTGGTTGGTTTATCCACGCCCTCTGGATTTAGATACCCAATGTAGACAATTCTTTTTTCTCGAAAGATCAAAAGCCCATTTCATTTTTGCAACCAATTCTTCGGCTTCCGGAGGGGATTTGTGAATGTTCTCCAGTCAATTTGATGCAATGGGCAACCCATTTAGTGAAATTACTCCCCACAAACAGGCTTAATGACATCTCGGCAGCATGTTATAATAGGTCTAGCGCCATCGGACACGAAGGCCATCACACAACTGAATTCTATGCCCATCATTGTCATCATCATCATCATTATTATACATGTCAGCTAGAGGTGTTAAAACACCTCCGCTATTGTACCGCAAAACTGACTCTCCAGATTGACCGTGTCGATGAGGCATGCTGTCACTGTCCTCGTTGGACTTTAATTGTGCGCACAACAGAAGTGTACTTCCATCTTCCGCAATCATCAGTTGTTTCGTCTGTTATAACGCTGACACGTATCGTTTTTGGTTTCTCGTCAGCATCAAGGCAACAACACAAACGTTGCTCTCTTGTTGGTTATTTCATCCGATGGTTATAACATTCACTTTTTCTGCTTTTCGATTGCCTAGCGCTTGTATGTTTTCTCCTACATTTTTTCGTTGTTACCATTTATTACGGTGACAAACTTCGTGGAGAAACTCATCATCATCATCATCAACAGCAGTACATCAGCCATTTGAACTGATGCTTCGCTGCCATACAACCATGAGGAGAGAAGGGGAGAAGGGGGGGAGAGAAGGGGGACTTACCTGAAAACCTTAATGCCCTAAGCAAACATTCAGGGTCAAGGCGCCTACACCTTGTGTAGACAACATTCCGTCACAAACAGCTGGCTATCGTGCAAAGATAAGGCGGCATCGGCGAGACAGCTTCCTTGCGGCTTTCACTGCCACGCGTCATAATCAGCCATTACCCCGCAGATAACTCAGCACCAAACACACTTTAAACAGACAATCCGATTAGGAGACGGCAGCAGACGCGCCACTGGTGTCGGTTGCGAGCCATGTCCTGTAAAGTCTCGAGCCAAGCACAAGGTGAGTCACGTGGACTCCAACCCGGAAGGCGAGACGGACCAACGGCACCCAGTTTGGTCGTCAGTGACTTCATTTCCCGCTGCCAAGTCAACTTCTGTCCACCTCGAGCCTTGCGCCATCCGACACTTGGTAGACTGAACAAGGCCCTCCTAGGTAAGCGGTGATCAGGCATACGTAGCACGTGCCCGAGCCAACGTAACTTATTCAGTGCTATCTGTTGTTCTAGGGAGCTAGCATGATCATCACCACCTAGTACTCGCCTACGCACATCATCGTTGCGGACACGCTGGTGCCATCCGACACCAGCAATGCTTCGCAAACAACGATGATCAAAGACTTGAAGGCGCCTCAGATCTTCAGACCGAAGGGGCCAAGTCTCACTACCATTCAACAGAACGGCCCTCACTGTGGCCTTGTATACACGGCCTTTCAGACGGAGGGAAACTCCCTTCTGTCGCCAAAGATGACGCAGGTTCAAGAAGGCAGCTCTAGCCTTTGCAATGCGTGAGCTCACGTCAGTTTCTATGCGCCCATCATTGCTGATGCAGCTGCCAAGATAAGTGAATTGATCAACCACCTCGAGTTCCTCGTTAGCAAGCGTCAAAAGGTCATCGAGTGGCTGGTGGTCCTGCAGCAACACTTTGCACTTTGAAGGTGCGAAGTGCATACCAAATAATGGGACCACTCTGGATAAGCTATTCAGGGTTGATTGTGCCGCCTCAACATTGTCGAAAAGCAAGGCGATATCGTCCGCATAATCTAGATCAACTAACCGTTCACCAGGCAGCACTTCAATACCTACATCGTGAGATTCCGCAAGGGAACACTCCATGATAGAATCCACGACGAAATTGAACAAAAATGGGGAATTCGGGCAACCCTGTCGAACGCCACTTGTAGTCGAAAAGCTATCCGATAGGGCACCATAGACCCTGACGCGGCCTCTAGTGTTCGAGTATAGAGCACGAAGGATGTTCACATATTTCGTGGGAACACCTTTCCGCGCAAGTATTTCGAACAGAATCGATCGATCGACTGAATCGAACGCACTCTTGAAATCGAGGAACACAGCTATTGTCGGTCTGCGGTATGCGTGGCGCTGCTCTAGCACCTGCCGCAAAGTAAATAAATGGTCTATACAGCCACGTCCTGGGCGAAAACCGGCCTGCTCTTCTCTAATCCAAGATTCCCGTTCTGCAGTGAGGCGACGAACGATGATCGAGGCCAGTAATTTTGTCACAACTGGCGTTAGGCTAATACCCCTGTGGTTCGCACAGTCTGTGCGACTGCCCTTCTTGTATATTGCCACTATAATCGATTCGCTCCAATTAGCCGGCACACTCTTCGTTCCAGATACGTTCGAATAGGGAGGTCAGTGCTTTGCAGAGGACCTCACCTCCGTCCTTAAATAGTGCAGGTGGAAGGGAATCCGGGCCAGCGGCACGAAAACGATTGAGGGCTGTGATCGCGTTTCGGACCTCGGCCTCCGACGGAGGCTCTAAACTAACCGTCCATGGCTCGTCCTGCATCACCTGAATAGGAAGAGGTCCGGGAGCAGGGGGCCAGCTGAACTGATGTTCAAAGTGCTCAGCCCAACGAGCCATACGGCGCTCCTTATTGTGTATCAGCGCACCCGCGCTGTCCCTGATTGTCTCACTGACGCCTGGTTTTCTCGGACCAGTGGTGCGTATTAGCTGGAAGAGCTTCCGGTAATTGCCTACTGCTCCTGCCTCCTCCATTTCGTGAGCCCGACTGGTCCACCAGGCTTCCTTGTCAGCACGTAGGCTCCACTTTAGTTCACGCCTAATAGCCCGTCTGGTCACATTGTGTTCAGAACCAGCCGGGAGATGCCTTCTAGCATCCAAAAGGTTCACGGACCTCTCGGATATCCAGTGACTGGTGCGATGACGACTGATAGTGCCACAAGCAGATGCTCCTGCGTCGTGCATAGTGGCCGAGATCCTATTCCACTGAAGTTCAGTATCATTAGGACAAGACAGCGAGAGTTCGCTATGCAGTGCTTCTTGATAGGCTTGCCTGACAGAGGGCTGGGACAATTTCTCCGTTGCCAATCGGGGGAGACGCTTTGTGCGCCTTCCGGTAAAGTTCATGGAGAAACGACAGCGCACCAAGGCATGGTCAGAGTCGACACAGGTACTCCAGTACGAGCGGCAATCCAGAATGGAACCGTGCCACCTGTAACTTATGGCTATGTGGTCAATTTGGGTCCATCGCTGACCAGCTACAGGAGGACGCCAAGTGGCACTTCGGCGCTCACTGTGTCTAAAAGTAGTGCTAGTAAGAAACAACTGGTGCTCCGCACACAGTTGCAGCAGACGCTCGCCGTTGTCAGTCCGTTCGGCGTTAAGTCCATACTTACCACCCAGCTGAGCTTCTGAAGAGCTCAGACGCCCTACTTGTGCGTTCATATCCCCTGCAAGTACTATAATATCTGAACTAGGAGCACTGCGTAGCAGCGTGTTCAGTTCGTGATAGAAAGTGTCCTTGACTGCATTAGAACTGCAGTCCGTGGGAGCATAAGCAGAAATCCCAAACAAACAGCGTTTTGTTTTAGTTCGCGAATTCACCTTAGCTGATGTCGTCAAACGGGCTGCACATAAACGGCTGTTCACCGGAATCCAATCAACCAGCGATGACTCAGCCTTGGAGCTGAGAATGATACCTACACCAGCTTGACCGGTGAGTGCCGCATCGGCGTCTCCGGATGCGTGCAACCAATAACGAGAGGATAAGCCGGGTGCAGTCAATTCAATAACCCCGTTAGGGTCATTAATCCTAGTTTCGGACACATAACACACATCAACACGCAGTGTGTCCAAGGTGCGTGCGAGTGCAGCCTGCTGACCTGTTTGTCTTAGAGTGCGGACGTTGAATGTCGCCATGGAAACGTGACAGCGTGGCCTTATAAGGAACTTTTGCCGATAGGCGTCCGATAGGTGCTGTGGGATGGTGGCTGCAGATGGTTCTACTCCAGTAGCACTTCGGTTGCTGTCAATTAAGCTGGGAATTATAGAAGGAAGGTTAGTAATGGGGGCCGGGATGGGAGTAAGAGAAAAAGGTGGAAAAGAAAGAAGGGAGGCGCCAGCAGTAGCATGCTTTCGCTTATCCGCCCTGCTGTATGCAGCGGATAAGGCGACCCTTGATAATCTGCGCGACGGCCGATGCAGGATGAAGTTTATGTTTGAAGAAAATGTCATGGTTGTATGTGGGCTGGGATACTGCCAGGGCGCCCAGACCTAGACAGGAGAACGATTAGGGTCCTCATCCAAAGCCTTTGGCTCAAAAGCCTGTCCGCAAGGCAGCGGGGTGGCAGTGAATTAGTTTCATATTTCAGTGTTCTGACCGTGGTCATTAGCCTAGCCCCACTCAACGCTTGCTGCTTTTATGCTTTCTTACCCTGCGCCGTTTTAAAAGCCATTACTGTCACCTCGTATTTTTTTGAATGAGGTTGCTACTTTTATCACTTCACCTATCCAAGCACGCAACATGTGGGATTTCTGTTTCATTGACTTAGTTGTCCCACTGAGTGCACCCTCACTATGCCCATGGTGTACTTCCAGATGCACCTAACTGTTGGTTTGTGATACCCGTTGTTATCATTGTTATGCTTTTGTCCTTATCAGAAACTGGTTCATCATGCTACCCCTTCGTTTCTTTTTGTTGCCAGCCTGTCCAGATGAGTTGTTCAATCGTCTGTGCCACTCCAACTGCGCACTCTTTTTGAAAACGCTCAAGGAGATTAACATCGCCTTTCTTCCTGTCGAATCTCGCGTGTTTTCTCTGGATTCTGCTCTAAGTTTCCAATACTACTTCAACCCAAACGCTCGACAATATGCCTCGCAGTTGGAGAGAATAGCTGAGCAAATCGCGACACTATGTGCAACGCTTGGTGAATATCCTCTTATCCGCTACCGCAGGTTTGTTCACTAACCAGCATAGTTTTGTATCCCCTTTTGATTTTCAAGTGTTCTAGCCTTTGCGTACCATTTCCTTATTTTGGTTTTTATAATCCAGTGGAAAACCGTGGTGTAGCATTTGGCGTACAACCTCTATATCTCAGACTCGACTCCCCGCCCCTTATCCACTGCATACAGCAGCGTGGATAAGCGAAACCATGCTACTGCCGGCGCCTGCCTGTTTTTCTTACTCTCCCGACCTCCATTACTTACCTTCCTTCTATACTTCTAAGCCTAATTGACATCAGCCACCATGCCACCGCAGTTCTGTCATTTGCAGCCAGATGCCAACAACCCCCTTGTAAAGCCACACTGTCCCGTTTACATGTCGACATTCAACGTGCGCGCTTTTAAATCGTCCCATTACTTGTAAAGTTCATTTCGTGGGTTGTGATACGGACGATGTCTCTCACGAATGATATCAAGACCCGTAGTTCACTATTCATGTAATATATCACGGTTGCAGAAGTCAATGGTGCGTTTGTTTTCATCGCAGTGTACGTTGCAAAGCAACTTGCGGAAGATGGAATCCGGATGCAACTTGTGAAGCTTCAGTTTCACTCGGCCTGAAGTACAGTGTCATTCAAAGAGTAGGAGACAGCTGAATGCAATGCGGGGTATTGCAGATAAACTATTGCCATCTACCCTCTGGTTTGCAGGCAAGCTTTTGAGCAAAATTCTTTGACTTAGAACCCTAATTGTCCTCCTGTTCAGTTTTGGGCTCCCTGACAGTATCTCAGCCCATGTACAACTACATCTCTGAACACAGTAAAGGAACGCTGGTCGCATATCCACTAGACATTATTAGCAGTAGGCCTTTCTTCATGCGGTAATTAAAGTTGCTAAGCTGGACATTGAGTCTCTATGCAGTCTATGGAACTTTTAGATGCTTGCCGACACATTCCAGCTGGGAGCGAACACAACGAGACTCTCAGTGACGTCAGGGCGAACCTGCATGCCAGCCTGAAGAGAGACTGCGAAGCGTGGTGATCTCATCGTACATCGGAGATGGAAATGGCCGCTGCTTTCAATAACAATCGGAACTTATTCCGTTTGATACGTGAAACAGGCAGAAAGAGACCTGATGATAGCATGACCATATTTGATAAAGGTGGACGGCCTATCCACAGTTTGTCAAAACGCTTGAGTGTTAAACCGAACACTTTGAAAGACAGTTTAATCAACCGGGGTTACCAGCTTCTCCGTCGACCATCGCTCGTCCTTCTCTCTGTGCCGTCCTCATGGACCCGACTTCACGCGCAGAAGTTGGACGTGAGATCAGACTATTGTAAGTAACTAAGGCCGCAGGAGCGGATAGAATCCCTCTAGTACTTTTCCAACTTGCAGGACCTGCTCTTGTAGATTATTTGTGGAAGCAGGAAAATCCCAATTTTCAAGAGGGGGCTCACGTTCTGCATGCGACAATCATGGGGGAATCAGTCTGGTCTCAATTGCCTCTATACTACTCACATCTGACGTTCCTCATAGACTTGTTGTCACACGTGAAAGCCAGATTCTCGAGGAGTAAGCCGGTTTCCATCGAAGTCGCGGCTGTATTGATCACATCTTTACAGTGTCAACTGTTCGATCACCGCCATATTTATCGGCGAGCCACCGTATTCATGTTCCTCGACACCAAAGGTATCTTCGATTCGGTCGATCGATGTGCTCTTTGGGACTGTCTGCTGAGGAAAAGTGTATCCCAGAAGTATGTAAATATCATATAAGCAATGTACATACATAGTTCAGACAATGAGGGCTTATGGCAAACTCTCGCCGCCCTTCAATATCCCCAGCGGTATGAAACATGAGTGTCCGCTGTCACCTTTCCTTATTAACTTCTCCATCGGCGAAATCATGGAAACTGCGTTCACTGGACATGACCTGCAAGGCGTGGAGCTGCTCCCTGATGATAAACTTCTTGATTTTGAGTACGTCGACGGATTTCTAACATGATAGTGTTTAAATCGTTTCGAGCTATGCTTTGCACCCTCGAAGTGCAAACTCCTTCTCTAAGATTAGCAAGGAACCATCTCTACGCTGACCCTTGGTGGTGGTCAGCTAGAAGTCGTCGAGAAATTCAATTATCTTAGCAGCTATATCATCGCCAATAGAATAGATGACAAACCCCATGGCGAAAGTTCGAGGCGCTTTTGCCAATCTTCGCCACCTGTGGCGCAGACACGACATCACTGTCGCTCTGATGGACAGAGTTTACAATGGATCCGTCCGTACAACCCTCCTGTACGGTTCCGCAACTTGGCCCATCAAGTCGACCGGATTCTGCTGCGAGCCTGCTAGCTCGTACGCACTGATGATGTCGCCTTGAACGGTGAGGAAACTTTTGCCAGCACAGCCCTGCTCGACGAGCATCGCAACAGTAGAACACTCAGCCCTAGCTACCAATGTTACGCCCGTGTGTGTGTGTGTAAAGCAGGCTGTCCTTTTATTAACTTCATCGGATTCTTAAATCTGCGCCCTAAGTCCAAGATTTCATAACCGCGGATCTCTCATTTGTGCATCTTTCTGCCCAAAACATGGGATATATGTGTCTGATACATCTCAGTCTGCATTCTCAGGACTGTTGCGTTGGCTACTTATTCCCTAACACATTGCTATTCTGATCAGGTCTGTCTCACATTCTACTATTCCTCCATGCTCTCTTTGTTGCTTTCCTCTCAACACCAACTTTCACTCCAATGCAAATACGTCCGGTTTTATTTCCGCATCCCCACTGTTCAAACTGGTGTCGTTTTTGTCTTTTGCGATCGAATTCATGCTTTTGTTTTGTCTACATGTGCTTATTTTTTCATTATATCGGCTCGCTCTTCGCCGCTTTAATCATTATAGTCAGTTCGAAAGAAATGCAGAGTTCACCCAGATGGTCCAACAGAAATTGGACGCTTACAAGGCAGACGATCCACAGATGGGCGAGGTACGTTCTTCATCCGCTACTACTATTCATCTCCACTAAAACCGAGATCATGTTTGTGCAATCAATCTGGTTGTGTCTGTTTAACCTTTTAACTATAATGCATCCCAAGTTTTTGGCGCTTATGAACGATTTGAAGCGATTTTCCCTTTGTTCTTCAAATAACCCAGTTGAACCCCCCTTAATTTAACCACTGGTAACCATATGCTTATTCCTAATGCTATCCTCAACTCCACAGCTCATTGAATGTCTTCAAGGAGGTGCATCTAGGTATCACTTATGTAAAAATAGCTTATCTTGTGGCCTGTTGCCAATTTTCAGATTTATTCCTAATGGGATTTTGAACCAAAGGCCTTACTTGGGCATTCTACTGCAATAAAACCTCCGTAAATAGACAACTCAGGAGACTGAACCAAGGTGGTCAACGTACAGATGTCAGGATCCATAAGGTTTACAAGGTAAACGTCCAAGCACACTGCTATTGACAGCGAATTGCGAGGAAAGCTTGCCATAGACCCTCACCCTGCCGAATGTATGAAGGTAAAGTGCTCGTAAGATGGCGGTATATTTCTCTAGCACCCCGTTCTTTAGTAAGCAACGCCATAAAGCAGGTCGATCAACGGAGTCAGAAGCGGCACGTATGTCTAGGAGTGCAATGATAGTGGGCCTGTGATAAATGTGGCGATGTTCGAGGCGCTGGCGCAGCGTGAAGATTTGATCCACGCATCCGCGGCCAGGACGGAAACCAGCTTGTTCTTCACGGTAGTATGATTCACGTACTGGGGATAGCCTGCGAAGCAGAATGGGTGCCAATAGCTTAGAGTCAACCGAAATAAGACTAATCCCGCGATGATTTGCACATGAAGTGCGAACGCCTTTCTTGAAAATCGGGACAATAACTGATTCTCCCCAAGTGGAAGGCATTTTCTCTTCATGCCAAATTTTTGCGAACAACGCGGTCAGCTGGTTAATTATCGCCACACCGCCATACTTGAATGGTCCGTCTAAGCCGGCAGCCTTGAAGCGCTTCAAGCGTCGAATCTCGAGGCAGACTTCCGCTTCGCTGGGTTTATTCAGTGGGACGAGCCAGGGTGGACAACAACGTGTATTGCATGTACTGATGGATGGTGGAGGCCAGTTGAACTGTGAGTGAAAGTGCTCGGCCCAGCGATTCATACGCCTCTGTTGACTGGTGATTGGGGACTCATCCACCTCACAAATGACCTCACTGACACCAGGCTTCCTGAGGCCAGTGGACCGAATGAGTTGGAAAAGCCTGCGAGTGTTGCCAGAGAGGGCAGCGGTCTCCATCTCTAAAGCCCGCTCCGACCACCATGTCTCGCGATCCTTGCGTAGGCTTTGCTTGAGCAGCCGGTTGGCAGAACGGCGCCGCTCGTTGCAATCTGATTCCACCGGGATATTTTTGCGACGTTCGAACAACTCCAGTTAACGAGCAGAGATCCAAGCCTTCAAGGGGGCGTCGAGTTAGACCGCAGCAAGGCTGTCCGGAAATGGCCATTGCCTTCCGTATACAAGTTCAGTGTTGTTCCACTTCTTGCGATGGATTGCAACTGAGTTCATATGACAGTGAAGACTGATAGCTCGCCTGGACAGAGGAATCAGTTAATCTGTTTACATCAATCTTGCGGTGCTTCTTGTTTCGGGATCCTCCAAAACACATACAGATTTTCGCGCAGACCAGAGCATGCTCTGAGTCAACGAAGGTAGACCAAAAGGACCTGCAGTCCAGTACGCTGCCGCACCATCTGAAGCTAATTGCCATGTGATCAATTTGAGACCACGGTTGTGTTGAAGAAGGGGGACGCCATGTTGCGGAACGCTTCTTCGTACGCCTGAAGTTAGTGCTCGAAAGAAACAGACGGTTGTCTTCGCACAATGTGAGAAGTCTCTCTCCGTTATCAGAGCGGTTCTCATCGAGCGAGTGATGACCACCAAGGTGACGTTCGTACGGTAACAGGCGGCCAACCCGTGCATTAAAATCCCCAACAAGGATAACGACATCCGACTTTTTAGCATTAGTCAAGAGCTGTTGTAGATCCCGGTAGAATTCGTCCTTGACCGAGTCGCCACTGCAGTCAATTAGAGCGTACACGGAGATCACAAACAAGTTGTGTCTCTCTTCGCGGTGCCTGTTGATTCTACATGAACCCCGAAGCCGAACTGCACATAGTCGGCTGTTAATCGGGAACCAGTCCAGTAGTTCCGCCTCAGCCTTGTCACTTAGGTAGCAGATATCAATGTCTAGGGAATCTAGGGTGCGCGCTAGGCCGGCTTGTTCTCCAATCTGCATGAGTGGCCGAAAGTTGAAGCAAGCCAGACGGAACGAGTATCGGGGAAGGAGAGCCATAGGTTGAACTCCTTGGTCTGCGGCGCAATCGGAATCGCAGGCAGATTGTTGGACACATGAATCGGGTAACGGAAAGTGAGGATTTTTAACAAACAAACAATTGGCGTGTGATGCAGTCGCGTGAAAGTGACTAGCAGAAACAGCGGCTGATGAGCAAGTTGTAATACAGTCCATGGTTTTGCGAGAGGGCGTGATACTACCCGGTTGCTCAAGCCGAAGTAGGGAGTTGACTTAGGGGAATCCACCCCGAGCCTTTGGCTAAATAACCTAGCCGCAAGGCAGCGGGGCGAATTTAGGGAATCGCGCCCATGGGGAGGCGTTGACTGAATGTTCAGTTCATGCGTCTTTGTTTGGTAGATTACCAAACAGGGTCCCAATACTCCCCATGAAGTCAGCACATCTGCTGGAATACAATGTCCCACCGAGGTGGAACATTGTCGCCGAACACTTTGCTGGAACGGGGTACACCCGAACCACCCAGCTGGCATCACGAGGAGGTAGTTCGGCAAGCCAACCGAAATGAAGTGAGAGAAGTGTCAACCCAAAAATAGACCTCTGCAGGCATGTAGATGGGAATCGCGATTGGTCTGGAGCCAGTGCACCCTTCTTCAAAATTCGTTGTACAAGTGGAAACATGCGTACCAGACGTACACAAGGCGGCGGCTGAGCCGTAGCCGGTTCCACACTGGATGGAATCACTCTGTGAACTTAGCACGGTCACGAAAACTGTGTACCACGTCTTTCCTAGTAACAACCAACTGTCTCCTGTATCCGGTAAACTGCAGGTAACGGTTTTCGGCAGTTAGTCATCTTGACAACATTCACATCAAGCGCAGCCAGATTGGGACGTCAGTTAAATAACACCTAAAATACCAAACAATAAACACGCGCAAGTACATGTACAGACCAACTGCAGCGATGATCTACTACGCATAACACACATGTTAATGAAGTGGAATCGAAAGCAGCGTGCTTACGAAACGCTGCGCTAATATCTCCAGCCAACTTACTCATCGGCCCTTCAATATTACTCCATCGTGACCCCCTCCATGACCTAGGGCACTGAACTGGCTGAGGCACACAGGACCGCATGTGCTCCACGTCAGTGAGACTAGGTTCCATCAGCGATTGTCGCTTTCGTAACCTTCGTTTTTCTTAAAACAACAGTCCTTTCTGGTACACCTGGGCAACGGCATTCTTGATGTGGCCATTCCATTGGCGGTGATTCACTGACTTTGATTCCCAGCACCTGAAATCAACATTAGTTCGTGATAAACCCACTTTGGTCATGTCCTTGTAAGGTTGGTTCGGTTTGCTCACGTTCTGCTTCTCCCCACACGGTTGCCCTTATAACAGGTGTTTCAGTATCCTCGTCGAATCTATAGAGCTGCTATGCCCGTGCCACAGCAGATGCAGTCTACTGCATACATGTCACTACGGTGCAGCACTCCCGTATCTGCAATTGTCGAACTAACCTATGCGCGGAGTCTGTCTCAGATACTTGATGAAACCGCTCCAAATATTACATGTCATCAGATAGAGTTAGCAGGCACATCGTCCACGTTTCGCTGTTGTAAGGAAGAATTGGTAGTACCGTCGACTTGTGAACAGTCAGCTTGGTCCCAACAGTTAACTGGTACTCATTCCACACCCGAGGTTCCAGCTTGCCAAACAAAACACGTCTTCGATACACTGGTTCTCAGCTCCTTGGTCATCTAGAAGTCCGTTGACAGTATGCTTCCGAGGTAACAGCATTTCAACGAGTTTTCTAAAAGCTCATCAACAGTCTTTATTCACGCGCAACCCGCGTACTTAACTCTGGGAGATTGCTGGAAAAGACACTTAATTGTGTTGATGGTGAGTCCGAACGTGATAACCGTCGAAGCGAGAGCCGTCGTCATTCGTTGCAACTCAGTCTCGCTGTGTGTAAACAACGCGCAGTCGTCGGAAAACAGCAACATATGGATGGTTGTCTCACGCATTCGGGTTCCCGCCCCGGAGCAACGGATGTCAAGCAACCTAACACCAATAAATGCTTCACACGAACACCGTAATCTAAAGCATGGAGTGAAATAGACATCAAGGCGGCTAGGTAAATTTTAGACAGGGTAGGGGCTAAGATTATCTTGCTTCACACCAGAGACAACATCAAACTCATTCGAGGTTTCCCCACATAGCTGTAGGCCTTCAATTAAGCTAACAAACTTTTGGCAACCAAACTTTCCAAACACTAGCCATATTGCCTCGTAATTTGCCGTGTCAAATACCTTGATGAAGTCAATAAGCAGCGATTACAATGGCTAGTGTCGTTTTTTACATCTGTAACTTACGAGCCGCGAACACTACGGCCTGAGTTACGGAGCGGTTTAGCAGGATTCCAGCTCTTAAATTCCTAACGTAACTGATCAAGTTGATGCCACGATAATTGTTGACACATTGCTTGCTCCCTTTGTCCTGGTACAGTAGTAGCACAAGGGCATCCTTTAACTCAGATGACACATCTTGAAGTCACACATGTTCCACCAAATGGTGCACCACGTGTAAAATTGCGGCTTCGCCGCGTTTCAACACTACTTTCGGTATCCGGTCGGCTCCTGCACATTTGCCGTTTCACAGCGGAGCAAGTGCGGTCTTTGTCTCTTGGAGTGTCGGTGTGTCGGTAAGATCATCGTTCTAATTTTTTAATCGCCATCCTAGCCAGAACGGACGAACGTTTTTCGAAAATAATACCCCGCTTGCGCAGAGTAGCCAATCGAAGTGTCATCCTTGCGAGCTGACGTAACCTAGCCAGACGTACACGCGAGCTGAGACTGGAGACGAAAATTTGTCACCTAGCACGACAGTACTGAGATCCAAACAAGAAAGACTGGCCGTTAGCAAGAGTTCTTTTACTGACTCAGCCAAGGCAAAACATGTCTCTTACACCCTCATATTTATACCTCAATATAATGATAGTTCAATGCATAAACTGTGGAGGAAAGCGAATGTTGACAAGGCGCATGAGTTGTTGCCAACTGCTGATGTCCTGAGGCAAACAGTTAGTGCCAGTGTGCCTTTGTGCAGTAACTGCTGGATTATGCTCTGTGGTTCACTGCAGCCTGCACTGTAGATGCATCAGTATCCCGAGGAGCGCTCAGTTAGTTCCCTGTAGCTTGGTCTCAATGTCCTGGGGACGGCTTTGTTGTTACTTGCGCAGTCTGGGTCACCCCACGGTGATTGTATGTTTGAAGTGAGCGCGGCGAAATCTACACAAGTTTCGCGGAGCTATAGGAGTTCCGCAACATTCTCGCTTGAAGTTCGACAGTACCGTTTTTTTAGGAGGGTTTACCTACAATGTTTTTGACCCTCGACGATTACGTTCTGTTCGGCGACTAGGATAGTCCGACTTCCGTGTTCTTTGGGTGCCTATTTTTGATACCTATAGTTCTTCTGCGATCTCGAATGTGTCCATTAATATGTTCAGTGGCAACTACCTGGATAACTAGTCCTCTGTAGTAACCTTAACGCGTCGTGGTCGGGGTTGGTTGCGGTAACACAGCGACATCATAGAACATGCTGCCACGTTTGGCCGTCCCTGTCACTTCGGTCCGGAGTGGGTGGCCATCTCGGCAGTCCCCTACGTAGACTGTTATCCAGCGGCAAAACAATTGCTGTTACCGGAAACAGGTCGTTTTGGCTGCTCCGCAGTTGGAGCGAACAGTTCGCGGGTAGTTCTCAGCTTCCTGTTCATCAACGCTTTGACGGGTGATTGACCTCCAGGAGATGTCGGATTCTGCGTGACCCTGTGAACGGATAGAAATGCCTGGATACTTGCATTCACTGCCCACTCTCCTCACGATTTAAAGATGTCTGTCTTGGAAATGTCTACGAAACCTTCCACCTGTCCGTTAAACTGGGGGTGGTAGGGCGGGGATTGGAGATGGCAGATCCCATAACGGCGGTAGAAATCTTCGGAGATTGAAGCAGTGAATTGGGAGCGGTTGTCAGACACAAGTATCTCCGGGAGTTCAAGTTAATTGAAGACAAGTCAACGTGCCGGTTGTGCTCGTAGTTCTGATGGTCACGACTTCAGGCCACTTGGAGTAAACGTCGACGAGGACAAGGTAAGAAATACCGTTGATGAGACTAGCGTACTCGGCATGTATCTGAGACCACGGTTTTTCTGCAGTTTTCCAGGGAATTGGTGGTTGGCGCGGCGGCATCTTGACTGTTTGTTGACATCGTGAACATCGGCGAGCAAGGTCTTTAATGTGATTGTTGATACCGGGCCAGTAAACATAGCTTCGAGCGATTACTTTCATTCTGCTAATACCAGGATGTACAGACTACCACCGGAGGAGCATGGCTTGACGAAGACAGGCTTGAAACGACTCAGTCAGCCGACATGGGACAGGCATCTACGACATACGTTGTGACAGCTGCTTAGGTTCCTAGGATAGTGTGATTCTAGGCCAACGTGTCTTGACGTAGTTGACAATCTGGTGGAGGATAGGGTCCTAGTTGGTGGCACAGCGGATGTCGGCGGCAGTGACAGGAAGGGTACGGATCGTTTATGGAAGTTCATGGCGCATGTCGTCCTCGATATCTTTAGATCCATTCACTGTGTCCTCTATTATCGCATGCTTTTTAATGATACCGAAATCTTGAGTGCTGCGGAATCTGTTTTCGAATTCGTAACCCATCTTTGAAGTCGGCTGGCTGAATATGCCAAAACAGACAGTGGTTTGTTATCTGTCAACGCTCCTACAGCGTCTTGTGGAACTACTTTACCGCGAAAATGATGGCTACGATTTCCTTTTCGATCTGACTTTCAGTGTACATGAGTCGTGTATGACGGTTTTCTCTGAGCTATTTCGAAAGCGATAGTATAATAATGCTCCGACCCCTTAGTTGGAAGCGTTAGCGGTGGGCGAAGTAGTGTTGGATCATAATATTTCCATGCAAATCAGAATTCAGTGTGTACTTCAGGTGTACGAATACCCCATCACATGGAAGGGACCAATGTTAAGGGACCTTCTGCAACAACCAATTGAGCGGGGCTCGTACGTCGTGTAGCGATGGCAGGAAAGCTCTGTACTAACTGATGAGATCAACCAATGAGTGCAGCCGTGAAACATAATCGAGTAGTTTCATTTGCTAAATGGCTTGGACTTTTGCGGGATCCGGATAACGGCCATTGGCATCGAAGCTGAAGCCGAATTATTTGATGGTTGGAAGGAAAAACTGACATTTCTGCTCTCAATTCGAACTTGTAGTCCTGAATGCGTTGGAGAATCTTGACCGGTCGTCCCCGAAGTTCATCTGGGGTGCGACGCATGATGAGGAGATGGTCCAGGTACGCCGCTGTACCTGGAATGTCAGTGATCATCGCGTCCATCATTTGCTGGAAATGGGCCGGGGCGATATTCACTCGAAACGGCAGCTTGGTGTACTTGAAGAGACGCGGTGTGTGTTGATCGTTAAAAGGGCCTGCGATTCTGGAACCACTTCATTGTGCATATCAACGTCTGCCAGATCGAACGAAACACGCGCCCCCATTGGGCATTGTGAAGAGATCCACCGAAATCGGTAAAGGACAGCAGAACGTTCCATTTGGTTTCCTGACCACTAAGATCAGGGCGGCCTAGGCGCGTTTTCCAATCGCGTGAGTTCCGCTTCGATCTCGGGTAGGGCTGCGTACGGAGCGTGCCTTTTCGGACGGAAAACCGGCTTGGCCTAGGGTGTGAGGTGTAACGTTGCTCGAGGTCACGTACAGAGGTCAATATCATCCTCGAACACTGGGTCGAATTGTTTGATGCTGTCGTCGATTTGGTCCGTCGATATTGTCGGAGATTATACCGCGCTGCAGGAGGTCTGAAATGGAAGATTGTCCAATCCCAGGTGTTCGGCCCAATCGTGACCAAGGAAATTGAGCTTCGACCTCTTGATGTAGTATATCCCATCAACGCTGGTGCTTCGAAAGGATTTGGAGCAGTGCATGTATATTGTGGAGATCAACTGTGCTACAGTTGTGAATAAAAAGAAGACCACCCTACGGGCACTATCCAGAAGGTGTTCCAGAACTTCTGCAGAATCTGGTATTTAAACCAATGGGAAATATCATATTCCAATAGGTTATTCTTTCTTGTAAGGTCGCAACATGGTGTGTCCATCCACATGTAGCTAAGGATGAAATCAGATTTGCATACCTGGTTGGCACATGGCTTTAAGTCCACGAAATGCCCCGCATGTTGAAATCTCCTCCTATCACTTTGTACTTGGTTGTTTGATCCGCTACCTAACAGAACTGATCTTGTAATACATTAGTTTCTACGAAATTGAAATTGCGGTACATGTATACGCACCCGAGGAGCAAAAGGATATTATCCAGTTGCACATTTATAAAAACGGAGCGCTGGAGACACTTATGTGTGGGAACATGTAATGGTGAATCGGGCAACGATTCGTGTACATAGATGGCGCAACCGCCATCTAGTCCAGACTTACGACATCCAATATGTTGTAGTCTAACGCAGGAGTATCTTCCATTAACCATGTCTCGGTCATGAGTATGATTTGTGCACCCGAGAGGGAGATAGGTGAGCGTGGCAAATGGATTTTGTTTTTTAGGGAACGTACATTGAGCATCAAAACACATCTGGATTGAGGTTGATGATGTAAGTGCGTTGTTTGTTGAAACAGTGCCGGTCCATCTTCTGATGGAAATGCTTTAAACTCGTCAATGTGCTTGGGCGTGATGAAGTTTACCTACCCGTCTTTCAGTTCGCCAATTGATGAACCACCTTTCGTGATTTCCCAACTCGGTTCATGGCATCTCCACATCCGGGCCACAGTTAACAAAGTAATTCGAATAAGCCTCAGGACCGGCCATTTCATCTAACTGATATTCACTTTTTTATTATGTTCCTGCTGCTGATGTAGAGCCCGAACTATAGGCGCTTTCTGAAGACTGTGCGTCCCCCTTGCTGTGAGGGCCTACACACCGCGTCACAGTCTTTCTCCATGCCGTTGATCACACCCTGCAACCTTAGGGTTCGCTGGTTGGCACCATTTCTCTTCGGACTACTGTATCAGTTACGATACATTAATGAGGCTAACCTTGATGCTTTTCACTTTGATTTCAGGGCCCGCAGAAAGATCGTAGTCAGTTAATTCTTCTGGACCGTGGTTTTGATCCCATTTCACCTGTCCTACATGAACTAACTTTCCAGGCAATGGCTTACGATCTATTGGCCATTGATAACGATGTGTACCGGTAAGCATGTGCTATTCCTATTTATCACTTCTTCGACATCGTTTTCTATCATCACGCTTTCACAAACGTCGAAATTATGGGTGTCCGACGAAAATGAATACGAATTTTGAACAGTTCTAACTAAGTTGTTTCATTCACCCAAAACATCCCACTTGGTTTCTGCACATGGGTCATTTTCTTTGGAACTCTTACCCCTTTGAATTGCCTTCCGATATACTACTGTTTTTTGACTTTCTCCCATTCTTAAGACAACTACTTAGATCTATCGATACCAACACATCACTATCCTCATCGGGTCTAAAATCCACTTACCACCTCTTGTCGTATTTGTTGTCGGTTCTCTTCTCGTACTAGGTATGTAAACACATCTGGCCCCGAAGAACGCGTCAAAGAAATTATCCTGGACGAAAGTGATGAACTTTGGTGCGAATTACGACACCAACACATCGCTGTCGTTTCACAACAGGTGAGAAATTCTCAAAGGCTTTAGCCGCACATACTGGGTCTTGTCGGCTTTATTTTCGCTTGGCAATGTTCTGTCTTTTCACTTGTCACCGCGCTATCTCACTGATGCCACCTGGCTACGCTTGTTCTAATTACCATGTGCCATCGCCATGTGACCACACCTAATTTTAATGTTGGATCAGTCTTTCCACGATTCCCGATTGCAGTATTAGAGGATAGAAAGAGGTTGTGTGTGTGTGTGTGTGTGTCATCAATGTTTTGATGACCCTTATCATGTAAAAGGACATTGCTATGGTAACCGGTCGAGTGTTTCTGTGGCTTAAATACATACTTGGTCTGCAAAGCACGGAAAGAAGACGAAAGCTGTTAGATGCGTGTCTTTCCTCAGTACCATTAACGACAACCGATGAGGAGACAATGCGAAACGCATGCATCTACCAGGGTTCGTCTTCTTTCCGTGTTTTTCGAAGTGTTATTTGGAACCAACTGCTTTAAACTTACATGGTCAACAAACATATCACTTTGAAAAGCAATGCTGTCTGTTAAGCTTGTTCGAGCTGATAGTCTGGTTACTTGAACGTTTCTGGGACGTCGGCTAGATCCGACACTAAATTGCTGCCAAACTATAACCAATCGACTAGCTCCGATGGCCTTTATCATAGTTGCAGAACAGTGGACGCTCACTAATTACTACCAGCTGGTCTGTTGAGCACCATTTGGTCTACTTATGACGTAATCTGTGACTGACGTTTGTCAATTGTCACTCGTCTTTTTAAAAAATGGATATCTCTCCAAAATCAACATGTTGGTTTCACCATCGCTTCCTTCAATCTACTCACCCACATCACATCACGGTGGTCCATTCCTTTCGAGAGACATTTGAGTACAATTAAGTCCATTTTTCGCCTCAATGCCGGGTTCACTTATCCCACTTTTACGCTTTATTAAATATTTGAAGCATCCTCATGCTAACGACCTGTCGTCCATATTCCCAACCTTGATTCAGTTGATCGCGCTTTTTCCCGACGAAGTGTGTTGGCAAAATTCCATTTTGTTCTAAAATTTATACATTGCGACTTCCTGAGCCGTCTGTGAGCCACACATTCTTCAGAAAGGCTACCTCGGCTCAGTCTCAATTTTGTGATTACGGCAACCATGAATTCAGCCTTTCCTTTCTACAGGAACTGTTCCGTTGAATGACCAACACACAGTGCTATTCCGTTCTAGCTTGTATATCTCGCGTCCTGAGTTTGAAGCAGCCGCTGGTCAAAACACCCCTAGTCCTCACTCACCGGACAACCGTTATTTTGCTAAATTGCTCTATCACAACTGGTGAACACCGTATCGCAAAATTTATTGCACTCCAAGTGCCTTCCGAATTTCACTGTCATAGAGATTTCACCATTGGCTTCTTGACCAAGTGCAAAGTGTAAGACGTTGTATCTCGACCAGTCTTAATGTATGGATCAGACATCACCACGCTTTGGTCACGCTTTACCACCTGTGCCTGCATGACCCTGCATGCATCTACTAAAATCAATTATTCTGAAGTCGTTCAGTTGATATGTAACAACAAACCTTTTGACGCCACTCCGATTTGTTTGTTCTGTCGTAATAAAGCTAGATTTTTAATTCCGTGCGATGGTTTACTTGCCCCAACAATCCATTGAGCTGTGCTTGATAGTCCATCTTGCAGCTTAACTCATTCATACCAAGTTGGTCGATGGCAAGGAGCCAAATAGACCTAGTTTCCTGGCCCTACAGGTTAGGGTTCGGGGAGTTTATCTCTTTAACCCATAGAACGGACTCCCTATAACCCTCTGCCACATTCTCACTAGTTTGCGGCAGGGTCTGAATCAGAGACTTTGGTTAAAAACCCTAGTGGTTCTCCTGTGCAACCCAAGATTACCCTGCGCTTTGGTCGTCGTGCGGATAATCAACAGCGCCCTATCTGCTGCATCGTACGCAGTATATAGGATCAATGATGCTACTGCTCGGGCCTCTTCACCCCCTTATTTCCTCTCTTACACTTTTTACTCCTTATCTCCCCGTTCCAACTTCACGTTTATCCCCGCTGTCTTCAACCTTCTTATTCTTGGCCTTCTCTTACTTTATTAGTTACGTCGCACTCGCAAGTAGTCACTGCAGTTGATTCTATAACCTCATGTCTAATCAAACGGCAAACCGCGTTTTGTGTGTAGCCGTCAATCCTCGCGTAGACTTGTATTCCTCAACGTGCTGAATTTTTTGCGGACCGGTTAACGGGAAGCATTTTGCTGAAACAGACTGCATCGTTCGATATATATTGCTTATTGGAAACCTGTCTGCAAAACTCGAGCTATATGCTCACTCTACAGTCGCATTCATGGGACATTGTCGGTACACTCTCACTGCCTGTATCCGGAGATATCGCAGTTTCAAATGCTTATCATGCCCCATGTGCTGGGGATGATCTGGTCAACTGAATCCCAATTAGGGTACGGATGTGCGCCATCCACTTTTCTGGCTCGTTCCATATTTCGAAGTCGTGCAAAGACAACGGGCGCCTGTTTGTACTTGCTGACTATGCCATGACAAATGGTGTTGCTGACTTGGTGAATGGTAACTTCTATCATCAACTGAACAAGCTCCTTCGTCGCAGCAGATTTCCGGATGCTGTATTCCATGTTGCTGACCTGAGTCCTCAGGCCATAAAACTGTTCACTAGTGAGCTCCATCTAGGTGACCGGCACGGTGTAAGCTCCCGTAATGATAACATTGAGCGGTTGTTACATCCATATGAAAGTGCTCGCCTGTTTCTCGCAAGCATTAGCTTCCGACAGCATCCTCAAAAGTGTTGCTTGCTGTCTCTCAGCCTCAGCTCAGCGATGAACACGAATCAATAACATCGCTATCAGTTATCGCTGAAGGGGTTGCGTCCAAAACTGTCGCTCGATTTGGAGCACAAGTGTGAACTCCGACCATGCACTTATAGGTACGGGCATGTGCGACATGTGTCCCATGCTGAGGCTGTTGTTGCATTCTTGATGCTTCTTCACCGCAGTTAGGCTAAACCAACTTACACTTAAACTAGGTCTTTTTAAGCTGGATACATTTCATTCCACTTTATTTGGTTTGTTCTGCCTCCCTGAATAATCTTCTATTAACTGGCCACGTTGCTTACGCTAATCGTGGTTATCCTACCTAACTTTATTGTGTTTGTAGCATTTTTTGAGTAACTTCTGGACATTTAGTACTTATCGCGGATTCGTCGCTAACTTGCTTACTTCAGTTGCTAATTTGGGAAGAGTTATGTCCGCATAGCCGTATTCTTTAACAGATATATTTTATTTGATAGCATCATTTTAAGTGATTGGCTGTTGTTTGACATCCCCGGTGTGGCTGCGCTTGATGTGCATGTTGGCAAGGTGCCTACCTGTCTATTACCCACTACCTCGTCCATACTGGCTCCTGGAGACAGTTGGTCGTTGCTGGAGCGGACGGGATGCACGGTCCTTGTGGCCATGCTAGGCTCGAAGAGCGGTTCCATGCACTCAGTGTGGAGCAGACTGCAGTCCAGCCACCGTATTGTGTGCGATTGATTCCCAAATACAGCGTGCTTGTGTTTGCCTGTGAAAGAGTGTTGGCCGGCTCCGTTGATGAAACGTGGCTCCCATCCACATGCCTTCGGGTTTACACTGGATATGGGGTGTGTGGGTGGAGTTGTGGGTAGTGCAGCACAAGCCACCCATGGTCCCTTTGTAGGCGCAGGCGTCCTGTGAGTGGCCACAGTGACAGGCAAATCCGAAACCGGATGCCGCCAACCATATATTGTGCTGCAGTCCAAACGGGATCCGCATTGGTTTCCCGCCACGCGCACTTCAATTACCTGAGTTTCGCAGTTGAGCAGGAATTCCTGCTATCATCCGCCGAACATAACTGATGAAGTTGGTGCCATGTTAAATGTTGGCACATTGCTTGTTTCCTTTACCCTTTTACAGTGGTAGCACAGGGGGACCCAACACAAATGGCACTTCTTCAAACCACACGTGTTGCCGCAACTTGTGCCCTGCATGTGTCCATGCGGATCCGCCGGGCACCACAAGCTTGTACTTGTGTCCACTTGTTGTGCAATGTGTTCGCAAGTGGAGCAGTGGTCTTAGCTTGGGGAAGTCGTTTACATGTAGAATGCGGTAGGTCATAATAAAGTCGACTCTCAATCGACGATAGGCCAGGGTGTACAATCCTAACCTCTCGCACTTGCCCTCGTGCGGTATGCCTCGCGGACTGGATGAACTGGGTAGCGATATGTTGGATTTATTCGATCCGCTCTTCGTCTCGTGTGGTCGGGCCTTAGGCGAGCGAGCCGCACTTTATCATTAGTCCTATGGTGGAGAAGGAGAGGTGGGTAGCAACTTCCTCAGATCAAATGCAGAAACTGCACAATCCGTTCCTGTGTAGTCTGTTCATGTTGTCCACGGACTTCATGTCACAGCGTGGGCGTATGCCTAATGTGGGATGTAACAGTGTATGTATATGTGTGTATGTTTGGCCGTCATCACTCTTCCCCAGGCTCCTGAATAACTAGTAACATGATTTGACCAGGAAGAGGGCTCCTGCAGACCACCTAAAAAGACGATTAAGATCTTGCTGTAGGAAGCTGCAGTCGTCGGATGTGTTTATCACTCTTCACCCCTTAAGTCATCTGCAAACTGGGCATATGGCGACTGAAGAAGTTGTGGTAGATGGTTCATGTATATCAAAACAATGTATGTCCCAGCACCCTGCGTAGGGGTATGCCACTGGTCGAAGTATACTCCTCAGTCACATGGCTATCGACTTGTACCCTCTACTTTCGTCCAGTGAGAAACTCGAGGACCCACTGGTGCTTTGAACGGAACAGCCTCAGTTTGTGGAGGGGTCCTCATGGTTTAGCTTGTAAAACTTTGCTGAAATCGACATCCCATGGTTCACCGTTTGTAACGATTCATGCCTCGTCTCAGGCAGATTGGTGATAGGTGAATGACCTAGTATGAAACCGTGCTGTGCAGAAGTCAGGAGATCTTTTGATTGGAACAGCTGTAACCAATGCTTCTTCACAATCCTCTCGATAATTTTGTTCAAAATAAGTTTCAACTAAAAACTCCTGTAGTTGACTACTTTTCTGGTATCACAGTTTTTGGGAATCGGCCTTACCACAGAGCATTTTCAATCACTCGGCAACGAACCTTCGGATAGTGATCTGTTGCACAGATCACTTACGGCAAGCGAGATGATGACAGATAAGGACTTGATAATCAAGGGGTGGAGCTCATCAGATCCCAGTAGGCATGGTGCCGTCAAGAGTATCGAGTAGCTGACACACCTCTTCACATCCAGACCATCAGGTTCGGTAAGTGTGGTGCACGTCGAACTCGGTACAGACACCTGGTCATTTGTAAACACAGTCGGCCGGTTGCCGAGTAGTCTGCACATTTGACTCGCAAACTTAAGGTCACCAGTTAGAATCCGCGTACGGACGGGCGTCCTCTCGGTATACTTGGCCCACGCGTGACGTGGTGGTTGCGTGGCAGAAAAGCGCCCTTAAGACCTACACATTACAAACACGCGAGCGAAGTGCGCCGCCGTCGCGGACAAAAGCTCAGGACTTCTGGTTAGAGGCTGTCTGCTCGCGCCCTCTATCACTGATAGGTTACCTGCCGGATTCAGGCGCCGATTCATGCACGCGAAGATTCTCTTCGGAGCGCTTTTTGCTGCGGCTGCAAAGAGCTCTTCGAAATTCCGGTGCCTGCGCGTTTCCGCTGTTTCAAATGTTTCGCTTTCTTTTATATACCTCATAGTCGCAGACCGAGCCAGAGATACGAAATTTGTCCTAGTCTGCCGCGCCGCCTACCGTATCGCTCGTCGAAACAATGTAGCTTGCTCAGTTCGACTTTCCGACTCTTGAGACGCACAAACCCGTTACACAATGACTTAACTCCGTCCTTTATAACTGACCAGCATGCTTAAACAGATGCATATTGCGACAGAGACCAATCCACTTGGCTCGCGGCTCGAATCAGACTGTCGAAATGCGTTTTCCAATGGTGGTAACCTGACCGCAGTATATGGGATTGCTGCAGCAGCAACTCCATGTTGTAAACAAGAACTTAGCGATCGGTTGCTGCCAGAGGATTCAGGATCCGAAAGTTGCACACATGTTCACAGCCGGTTAACATCAAATCCGAGCACGATGGAGTTGAGCGCGGATGTAGAGCAAGACGGCACCGCGGGCATTCGATAACCTGTCGCAGCGGAAGCACAAGTAGCCACTGAGCTCAACCTCATTGCTCAACCACATCTGTGAGTCTCATTACATTTAGTCACTAGAAACCAACGAAACGGCCCAGCTCATCACGTTTGTTCACAAGACTGCAGACGCTAGTCAAGACTAAACGCAGGCTATGGTAAGAATTACCGGGTGAGCCTGACGTGTGAGCGACTGATCTATCCGAATTCGCGTTCGTGTTGTACCCACTGGAAAATTTACAGCACAGGTTTGTTTCTCCTTTGTCAGTTCGCCGTTTTAGCACGTTGATGGCACACTCGAGGCGCTCCTGGTCAGTTGGATCCATATCCGGACGAATAAGCACCCTATTGCCTTTTCATCTACCCAGTCAAGAGAGAATAAGCTTCGGGCTGGCGTCGTCTGAAAAGGTTACGCATTGGTCCATCTTTCTCAGCAATGATTTTGCCAGAGCGGAAGACTTACACACCCAATCTTGCACTTCAGGCCAACTATACCATGGAACAACCTGACGGTTTCATCGGTGTCAGCGCTACGCCGGTATGCAGTACCGATGCTCTGCTGCCGCGCAAACGCTGACAGTTGCGCGTGGGCTGAGGATACTTCGAAGGTCGCAGGCTCGAACGCGCGCCCTCGGTTTGCAAGGCAGGTTTGTGATCTTTTAGGCCACGGACCGGTGACGGTTTCACCAGGAATTTGTCGTTCAAGAAATTTAAATCGGTTAGTTCCCTTTTACCATTTAAAAAGTTCAAAAGGCAACGAAGACTGTTAATCGCCTACATTTCGGTTTGTTTACTCATCACTAGGTTGTCGAACACTCCGGGTCATTTACAAATACACCATCACTTAGTTTACTTGACGGAAACAACCAATAGGCTATATGCTGTCAATTAGTTCATAAACCCTTGACAACTACATGCTCCCCTGGGATGTTTGCAGAACTCGATTTCGAGTTGTCAGACCACGGCATCTACGTTTCATCAGCACCGTTTGCCTTGGCTCTCTGATTTACCTTTTTAGTGCCCCTATCCCATTATTTATCTCGAACACCCACACTTGACTCTCACTTTCTTCAACCATCGAATTTGTCATACGTCGACTTACTGGTCCCACTATTTACCTTACTTCTAATACTTCCCCTTTATCTTCCGATTAGGTGACTAGCAAGTTGAAAAAGTTCGCGGAGGAAAAACGGATGGTCAGTGCTGGTGAAAAGACCACAATGCGGGATTTGAGTCAAATGTTGAAGAAAATGCCCCAATATCAAAAAGAATTATCCATGTATTCTACTCACTTTCATCTGGCCGAGGAGTGCATGCAGACGTATCAAGATCATGCCAATAAATTGTGTAAAGTTGAACAGGTGCGTAATTTTGTATACATTTGCTGGGGTTTCAAATGCCTAACATGCTGATTCACGGTTATACGAAAGCCAGAAGCCAGTCACTACCGCCGGGGTTCTACTCCATTGTTTTCGGTACCGACTTCATAGACGCACGATTAACGTATGTTCACTTGTTCATCCGTGAAGTTGGTTACTCGCGGCTCATACTCTGGCGACTCCACTATTATTCGGCCCATCAGTTTCCACTAGCATTCATGCTATTGTTTCATTGGACTGCGTTCACTTCTGGTTTCTTGAGATTCGGATTCATGCTTCCACTCTCCTCCTCTAACTGCGACAAGAGGGTTCTGCATTCCTTGGTACATTGGCTAACATGCCCCATCCGGTTCGTGACCAATAAATTGCTTTTCGCCGTACTTGTTTATTTACCGGAGGCGATCTTGACGACACTTCATAGCGTTCTACCTCCAGTCACAGAGAGTTGATGATAAACCCACTGTACCATACTGATCCAGGGTGTTAGTATTCATATGCCAGATTGAGGCGTAGGCATTCATCTGCATTTGGTTTCTTTTGCTCTTTGTCTCTGTATCCCCACCAATTTAAGCTCCGGTCCCACGTTGCTCATCTTATCAGTTACATCACTGCTGTCCGATGCCATTGCCTTCCTTTGAACTGTTTATTTGGCACATTCATGTGCATCTCCTTTGATTCTTCCCCAGGATTTGGCCATGGGCACTGATGCAGAGGGCGAGCGCATTAAAGATCACATGCGCACGATGGTTCCCATCCTAATCGATGAATCTGTTTCTGCAAATGATAAATTACGTATCATTTACCTCTACGTGGTTCAGCGGGGTGGGACAAGTGAGGAGAACCTGGCCAAGTTGGTACAGCATGCGCAAATACCATCCACACAGTCTAGCGTTATTCGCAATCTGGCTCTTCTCGGTGTCCCGGTTATACAAGATGCTGCTGGAACGGTGTGTTTACATGACTACTGATCATCCACAGATTGTTGTTACATCCTGAGAATGTGGCTTTGGTTGAACTGAACATTTTCTCATCAACGCAACACTTTCTCCGTTACTACACTGTCCCCTAGCCCTCACATGTTGCTTTAGGTCACTACTGTTATCTTCTCAGCGGAGCCTCAATAGTTATTAAGTGATTACATGCCCGCACTGCTTATCACCGATTAATTCTCGTCGCTATAAGCCATTCGGCATTGCTCTGAACCACACTTTTGTATGTGCGAGCAGTCATTCTATCTCCTTAATCATCACCACACTTATTTTTCACAGTCTCGGTTCATTGATCGACGGTACGAATCCGTTCGCATTACTTCTACGCTTCATTTTTCTTCCATCTTCTCCGATGCCTGTGATATCCTGTCAGCGACATCGTATTACCTGGCATATATCGTCCCACAAGACTCCGGTTTCGCCGACATAGACCACTTTCAATGACTTCCTAATTCTGCTCTTGTCCACAACCACTAATTTTCAATTTCAGGCACCACTTGTATCCATGCATCGCCTATCATAGCCCTTTTGATCCGCGATTATAAAATCGCTTCTGTTGGCGCTTTTTTCCGGTCGACCATGTGGCGTCCCCAGTGATCACAACGGGTAACGAGGTTCTGCAATTGCATAAACGTTGGACGGAACTTACTCAGTATCCTGAGTAGGAGTGCTATTTCTCTCCAAGAGTGTGGGTTCTCACTTAGCCCTTTAGTTTTAACTAATAGTCTCGATGAATCCTTCACTCATGCCTATTCTTTTTGATTTGATTAGCTACGGTGAGGATCGCTAAGACAATGATCGAATACTCATTTTTTACTGAAAGTTCGGATTGTTTGTCTATCCCGATTCCACAGTCAACCCTAACCTCTCACTTTGTTTTTAACTTCTCCTCAACAAACACGGACCTGTTATTATTCATTGGACTCTTTTTCCCTTCCATCCAAATAATCTGCATTGGAAAATTAAATTGGAAAATTAAATTAAACTTTATTTCTTCAATCTGCCAAAGACTATGAGTCAAGACTAGCGTTTGCCACGGTTGGCTATTTGTCCCTCTTGGATACATAAAGTGCTGATTTATTTTGCTTTATTTTAGGGTATTGGTAGACGCAAAGTCCCTCAACCTTATCTACCTGCAAACAGACGCCAGCGCGAAGATGGACCGAGGTATCAAATGTCTCGTTGGACTCCTTGTCTCAAAGACATCATGGAGGTAGGTTGTCATTTTTGTAGTCTTATAAGATACCATTATCGTTTTTACATCAAAATGTCCTTCCGTTGTTCTCTTTTCTGTTGTACTTTACAACAATGTCTACAAAAGTCGTTACGAAGTAAAGTTAATCAGTTCCTATCAATCTTATATACTTAACACGAGTGATGGTCAATTTGCCGAATTAACTCCAACTTTTTTACTCCGCTACAAATTAATATATACTTCACCAAATGCATATTAATTATAATACGCTGGTAGTAACTGTTTTTAAGATTTCCTCATGTCTTCTGTACAGCTGTTCGCTAACACATCTGGGTTGTGTCTATCCTCATTGTTGAGCATTTTCTCTTATTATCTCCTTGCTCATTGTTGCGAAACCTTGGGGTGAAGACATTCAATATGTGCATCACTAACCATACCACAGTTGTAATAGAAAAAGAAACCATGGTGCCAATAAAGGAAGTAAGGATATAGAAACAGTTTAGCCAGGTTCCTGATGCTACGTCAGTATGTCTTCTGCCAGTTCCTTACAGTTGTTTAACCTGCCATCTTTGAAAAGCTCTCTACTCTGAAGACTTAAAAATTCTAGTCTGTGTTCTACTGAGTCAGGGGAATTTTTTTGTAGATACCTGAAAGTTGGCGAAGTTCAGTTTACTGCTTTCATAGTTCCTCGCCAAAACTAGTTTGATGTTAGGTGGTTACAAGATTTTGCGTTTGAGATATTCTTCTCTCCAAATGGCATATTTTATCTGTGAGTCCACTCCTTTCGCAATTAGTAAGTTCCCTTGCTCGGCTATTCCACTGACAATATTGTGCACTGCTGACGTCAGTTTCCTGTAGCAGTCGCCGGACGGTAGTACAGTCCAACCTGTCTAGTGCGACCAGCCAAAAGCATCCCCAAAGTTTTCTCCTATGAGTAATGTCCCTATGCATGAACCTGCCCATGGCGACCATTTTTTCTCGGTACTTTGAGTGGTCGCCTTAGACAGGTGGGACTGTAATACATTACTCCAGCAAATGGTGTTGATCCGTGCTTATGTACGTCATGGTACTCAATACAATGCAATATTACACTATTCTGGGTTTATTTCGGAGGTTGTTACACTCCCACTAGATGAATTCGCATAGTGGAACATGAAAATTTGCCGACTACGATTAGCGACCTCCGGTTGCGTTGTCAGAATACTCGTGGTTTTACCCGCATGTTGACTATTTTGTGGAAATTTCGTAATCATTCAATTTTGCTTCTGTATTTACGATTTCTGATCATATTTTGTGTAACACCTTTCCATAGGTTTCGTAGTTTCGTTTTGCAAATCCTGCTTTACCATTATACGTCACTATTGCGACATTTTTCCAAACTGCCGAAGAAATCACCTTGTGGTTCCTGTTCGAAAGCTTTTTGAAACACGGCAAATGCCCCTTACTTTGATTGCTGTGCTAGATTTCATATTTCATGTCTTCGTCTTCTGCGTTCCATTCAACATGATTTCCTCCTAATTTTATGCATCGATCGCCGCAGTCTAAGGCAGCCAGGGAAACGTACATCGTCCATCCATGCAAATCGCGACCAAAATCATTTCACTGTGAGCAGTTCTAGATTTGCCGTCCGTCAAACTGGCTTAGAGTCCATCCAAGGTTCAATCCAGCCTACCATTCAACTCCCTCTGATAACTCATTACCTCGCCATCTTAATGTTTCCGGAGACACGACACCAACAGAGGTAAATGCTCCACTGACTTTGTGCTCTGCTAGCTCTAAAGTCGCAGATATGTCTAATGCTTGAGGAGCCATGTTGAACTCAGCGACGGAAGAAGCCGCGGAACGAGAAGAAGCATCCTGCTACTGACCAACAACAGGCCAGGTCAAACAATGCTCGAGTTCACCCTTCTCCCGCAGAAACCACTTTGAATGACAGGAGGCAATCAAATCTGGTGATTTTTCACGCGCCTAAGCCCAACAATCCAAGTCCTCAAGCACGTATGATCATGACTTAGAGTTTCTACATGTTGGTTGATAGGCTCGTTGTTGTGGGTGAGGACGAAGTGTAAGTGAAGCAAATCATCCGCCTCGGTAAAAGTACTGCTGAGAAAGGCCGATCTATGTGGGTAACTTTTTCCGACGCGGCCAGCCCGAAGCTTATTCTATCTCGACTGGGTAGATTGAAAGGCAATAGGGTGCTTATTCGTCCGGATATGGATCCAAATGACCAGGAGCGCCTCGAGTGTGCCATCATCGAGCTAAAACGGCGAACTGACAAAGGAGAAACAAACCTGTGTACTGTAAATTTTCGAGTGAGTACAACACGAACGCGAATTCGGATAGATCAGTCGCTCACACGTCAGGCTCACCCGGTAGTTCTTACCATAGCCTGCGTTTAGCCTTGACTGGCGTCTGCAGTCTTGTGAACAAACGTGATGAGCTGGGCCGTTTCGTTGGTTTCTAGTGAGTAAATGTAATGAGACTCACAGATGTGGTTGAGCAATGAGGTTGAGCTCAGTGGCTACTTGTGCTTCCGCTGCGACAGGTTATCGAATGCCCGCGGTGCTGTCTTGCTCTACATCCGCGCTCAACTCCATCGTGCTCGGATTTGATGTTAACCATCTGTGAACATGTGTGCAACTTTCGGATCCTGAATCCTCTGGCAGCAACCGATCGCTAAGTTCTTGTTTCCAACATGGAGCTGCTGCTGCAGCAATCCCATATACTGCGGCCAGGTTACCACTATTGGAAGACGGATTTCGACAGTCTGATTCGAGCCACGAGCCAAGTGGATTGGTCTCTGTCGCAATATGCATCTTTTTAAGTATGCTGGTTAGTTATAAAGGACGGAGTTAAGTCACTGTGTAACGGGTTTGTGCGTTTCAAGAGTCGGAAAGTCGAACTGAGCAAGCTACATTGTTTCGACGAGCGATACGGTAGGCGGCGCGGCAGACTGTAGGACAAATTTCGTATCTCTGGCTCGGTCTACGACTATGGGGTATATCAAAGGAAGCGAAATATTTGGAACAGTGAAAACGAGCGAACGCCGGAATTTTGGAGCACCTTGCCATCGCAGCAAAAAGCGCTCCGAAGAGAATCTTTGCGTACATGAAACGGTGCCTGAAGCCGGCAGATAAACTATCAGGGATGGGGAGCGCGAGCGGACGGCGCCAACCTCTAGTCCTGAGCGTGCGTCCACTTTGACGACCAATTGCTGCATCCCACATCTTCCGTGAAGGACCTAGGAGTACTCTCACTTTGCGAGTTGAAGTCCGTGGACAACACGAGGAGGATATATCGTAACGGACTGCGCATGTTCTGGGCACTCCCACGCGGTTTCTCCATCTGGTCTGAATAGATTGCCACTCGCCTGTTCTCCATCGTCAAACCAATGCTAGGATACTGTTCGTTCGCTTATTCCCCAACCACTCGCGGCGAGGCGCGGACAATTGAACAGATTCAGCACGTCGCTACCTGACTCATCTCCATTTTGCGAGGCTTACCGTACGAGGACATGTGCGAATAGCTGTGGCTGTACACCCTGGCCTATCGTCGGTTGCGGATCGATCACATCCTGATCTACCGAATTCTACAGGTAGGCGACTTCCCCATGCTTAGGCCACTGCTCCACTTGCGAACACCTTGCAACACACGCGAACATTATAGCATTTCCCGCAAAGTTGCCTAAAACGTCCAAAATTTTTCAAAGGAGCAAAATTTTGCAAAGAAAGTCCAAAATGTTGCAAAACCCTGTGCGATTGGCCAGCCACTCAGAGCCAATCCTCTGACCTTAAGTGTATTCTCATTGGCCGGATGCCAAGGTTCGGTGCGTTAGTCTGGGGAGGTGAGCGCGCTGCCCGTTGACTGGGTGAGACTTGTGCATGAACCGTAGAGGAATGCACTTCAACGGTGCAACGGGCTTGTGTGCGCCCCCCCCCACCCTCACGTCCGAAATGATAGATCACAATTGGTCTGAGAGCAATGAATAGCTGGAACATAAGCGCACGACCGAAACCATGTCTATGATTCTAACGTCGTCGGCATGCGTTCTCGCGTTCGACAGAGTATCTCATCAGACATTCGTGACCGAGTTTTGAGCGCCTTCGTCAACGTTGATGACTGGTAGCTTGTGGCAACTGTGAACAACGTCAAATATCAAACAGCTTACTCCTGGATTCACCGTTCTCTTCACCAAGAACAGAGTAATACGCAAGCGCGCGGTCGTAAGCGGATTTTGTAGGAGGAAGACGTACCTGACATCCTGGACTGGATCGCAAGGGACTCAACTTTTACGCTACGGGAAACGCGAGTACAAGCAGAAATCATCATCACCATACACGTTAGCTAGATGTAGGGAAGATCTCAGCTACTGTGCCGCAATACATAGAAAAAAGGAGAAAAAAGCAACTGGTGCAAGCCGGCTGAGCTACCGGTAACGGATGGGCATCGTTCCCGTAAGCTACCAGCCGGCTACTATGAATCCAAAAAATTACTACGTAAAATTATATAAGGCTAAATAATGAGATCGTGGTTGGAGGGGGAGGCTAAGAGGGATGTGGTGGGACAAAGAAACTCACAGCACGAACGCCACTGAGGTCGGCTCCTAGCCATATCAGCAAGTTTGTCCAATCAAACGTGTTCATCATCTTTCGGACCCCAACCAGGGAGCCGAGACGCTCCAACCGAGGCCAGCTCAGAAGTGAGGGCCTTCATTCCTCTGGACAAAGTCATCGCTTGGCCACCCCTCTTCTTCTTCCATCCACACCCCCGGCGCGCAAACAACGCACGTCGCGAGAGTCGGTGGGCTGGCATGCGCAACACGTGGCCCAGCCATCGGAGCCTGATGCGTGAAATAACGGTGTTGAGCGGTTCAGTTCCTTTTCCTGTGCCGTAAACGAGGCGTCGAACACGCTCGTTGCTCACGCGGTGTTCCCACCAGATGTGAGCTAAATTACGAAGGCACCGGTGGTCGAACGTAACTAGCCTCTTCAGGTCCGCGGCTTTAAGCGGCCAGGTTT